CAGTCGGGAGAGCACGCTCGCGGGAGCCGGAAGCCTTCTCTTCTCCTGGCCTGCAGGCATGCCCCCGGCGAGGGACGACCGAGCCTAAGGATCGCACCAGCTCCCAGACCCCCTCGCCGCGTCGGGCCCCGCAGTCTCCCAGGATCGTTTCTGTCGGTCCGGCGTCTGGGGCCCCGGTACCGAAAATTCGCCCATGGTCGCCGAGCGCCCTCCACCACTCACAAACGCCCGGAGTTCAACAACCGCTTGCCACGATGTGCGCCTGCGTGCGCGCAGCAGCTTCACGGGCTGCCGCCCTCTGCTTCTCTCGCCTCTCAACCCAGAGGAGGGAAAGGTGCCTGTACCGCTCGCTACACCTGCCTCGTTTCCCCCTTTTGCGGCCTCCTGGGAGACCGTCGTCGCCACCGCTGGATTCGCCTCGAAGTCTTGGTCATAACGCACCCCGAGGGAGGTCTGGGGAGTGGCGGTATCGGTACCTGTTGGTTGCCCCATCAACGGTGATCTCTCGGGTGGGCTGGGGGCGGCCTTCGAAACTTCGAGCGGATAACTCCTGCGCCCTGGCACGTGCCAGTTCAGGCGCTATTGTGGGGCGCTGCTGCGCCATCGGTGCCGCACTCCTCTTCCGCTTCTTTCCTCCGCCCTCGTCATCATCCATTTCCACTGACTTCAGCCTACGTGTCCTACTCATGTTCCTCTTTCTTCATCTGCTCCTCCTCATCATGATTGCTCCTCGCCTCCTCATGCTCATCCTCATAGCCCTCCTCTCTCCTCATCAGCCTCCTCGCCCTCCCCGTGATGGAGGTCCTGGTGTATCCGAACCTGAAGTGGGCGCCAGAGCTGGGCGGTGAGACCGTTTTCTACACCGAGGACGGAAACGCCCCACACACACACACACACACACACACACACACACACACACACACACACACAAAACAAAAAATCGCAGAAGGAACCTCTAGAAGGAGGTGGGCGAGCAGGTGGATCCGATCTCATTTGCATGCAGTAATCCGAGGACTGCAATTAAGAAACCTGTCTTCTTCATAGTATGATTTGTAATGTTCTTTTGAGTGCCCTCCGCATTCGTATTAGTGTGTGTCTTGATGTTGGTCTGTTTCGCCTTCCTATCGTTTTTCATTATATTATTAGTGTCAGTTTCATTATCGTTCATGGTAACATTGTGTTTGCGTATGTTTATTTAGTCTGATTGGCATGATTCGTAGTATTGGTCGTGTTCCTCTTCTGTCTCGTCGTCTTTTTCTTCCTCGGGGAAGGCTCATTTTTTTCACCGAGCCCCTGGACAAGCCCTCCCGAGAGGCCCATACAAAAAGCGCGGGACATGCTGCCCCCCGCGAGGGCGAGCGCTGCCGCCCTGTTGCGCCGGGCTTCAACTTGCGGGACGAGAGTGAGGAGGAGGAGGAGGAGGAGGAGGAGCAGGAGCAGGAGCAGGAGCAGGAGCAGGAGCAGGAGAAGAAGGAGGAGGAGGGACGAGGGACAGAAGAGAGGAGTGAGAGTGACGAGGGGGAGTGAGGAGGAAGAAGAGAAGGAGGCTAGGAAGGCGAAGGAGAAAGAGAAGGAGAAGGAGGAGTAGGAGGAGGCGAAGGAGGAGCAGGAGGAGCAGGAGAAGGCGCAGGAGGAGGAGGAGGAGGAGGCGGAGGAGGAGGAGGAGGAGGAGGATTGGGAGGTGGGGGGGAGAGAGATGGAGGAGGAGGGAGGCGGTGGATGGAGGAGGAAGAGGAGGAGGAGGAGGACGGGCATCTTGAAGGCGGGGGATGAGGAGGAGGGACGAGAAGCAGGAGGGAGCAGCGAGAGTGAGGACAAGGAGGAGGACGAGGAGGAAGAGGATTGGGAGATAGAGGGGGAGGAGGTAGTGAGGTGGAGAAGGGAGGTGGTGCAAGGGGGGGGAGGAGGGAGAAAGAGGACGGTGGAGTAGTAGTGGCGAGGGGGAACTGGAGGAGGAGGACAACGACGACGACGATGAGGAGGAGGAGGAGGAGGAAGGGGAGACGGAGACGGAGACAAAGACAAAGGAGGAGGACTTGTTTCAAATATCGCAACTTCCGACAGCCCGTTGTCACTGAAAGTAATGCAGCGCAGCTACTATTCTGACAACCGTTGGGCATACGAAGTCAGCCTATGAACATGTTGTTATCTACGGCGTATGCTTTAGGAGGAAGAAGGGACGGGGGAGGAGAGATATGTGTAAGAAGGGCAGGAGGGAGGAGAGGAGGACGAGAAGGAGGAGGATGATGCGGAGGAGAAGGAGGGAGGAGAAGGAGAGGGAGAGAGAGCGGGGGAGGAGGAGGAGTAGGAGGAGGAGGAGGACGACGAGGAGGACGACGAGAAGGAGGAGGAGGACTGAGGAGGACGACGAGGAGGAGGAGGAGGAACCAGATGAAGATCAGCAGGCCTCATCCTTCTCCTGCCTTTCTTCGCTCTCGTCATCCGTCCCTCCACCCCGCCACGCCCCCCCGATACTCCCAATACCCTGAGCCCTCCTCTCGACGCTGTTGCTACGGTCGGACTGAGGTATGAGACCGAGATCGGCTCGGAGGGATACCCTAATGCTCTTCGTGTCTGTTGGATGTTCTTGTGCATCCTGGAGGAGAGTACCCTCGACTGATCTTTTGGATTGGGTTTTTTTGGCTGGCGGACGGTCTAATGTTTCTGGAGGATGTTATAATGCCCTAGGTCCGGTCGTACTCCTAATACCCTGAGCCTTTCTCTCGATGCTGTTGCTACTCCTCTTTCCTCCCCTCCTCCTCAGCCCCACTGGCCAAGTTGCGATGCTGAGGGGCGCCATCCGGTAACGTAGCCACTCTCACGGATTACCTACACGCACCGAACATTGATGTTTCTCGGCTGCCGGCTGTTGTTCAGAATGGGAACGTTGAATTCCATAATTGGGAGTTACAAGCCGCTGTCCGCCAGCACGCTTGACAGGGTGGAGGATACTGCACGGATGATGGCAAACTTTGATGCGGTAGCGGTGACAGGAACGAAACAGGGAGAAAGCATTGGGACCACTATTCGTCGGCGGCTGATCGACGCTGGAGAAGGAGAAAGTTCAAAGCGATTGTGTCTTGATACTGGCATTGTGGCGTCGCCGTATGTGACCAACGCGTGCGGGTGCAGTATTTTCTGGTGCAGGAATGCCAAGGCAGAGCACATCGTTCAAGTTACACTGGCGCCACAATCGCACCGGTGTAGAGGACTACTAGCCCGCGCGAAGAACGGGATGATGGACGTGACCATGATAGCGGAGTTTTTCCCCCCCCTCCCGGCCGAGGGAGATAGGAACTCAGGACTGCGATCGAACTACTTGTGATAGTTTGGCGGAGTGGATTGCAATGCGTTTTGCTTCGTTGCAAGCTATGACAACTCCTGTTTTGGCTGACGTCTCAACGGTCGATTGAGCAGAGTGCGTGGTGACAGCAGTGGTTGGGCAAATGATGAGCTGAACGTTGTGCCGCCTGATACTGGCACTCAAGCTCATTATGTTGGCACGCTGATAGGGCCCGGTCTAGCGGAGCGTGGTATGCAGACGGCCAACACGTTGCGCGGTCATGCTCCCACGTTCTACTCTGCGACGGGCCATGCTTCGTTGATCGACTATGTCTGCCTACCTCGACCACTGGTGCAAGTGATGAAATCAGCTGAACCACTACGAGGACTCAGTCGCGATTTGCAGCTTATTCCGAAAGCCAGGCCGCGCGATGATGTGGCGGTGCACGCAGCATTTCCATACGGGCTGGCACATGACGGCGCCTCTGAAGCTCAGAAGAAGAGACTGGTGTGGATTATTGACCTGACCGTGCGATGTGCACCCGGCGGCACTAGACGCAGAGAGTTTCTGGAACCACCAGTAGAGAGACTGCATGGCGAAGGTGCTATATTGGAAGAGGCTTTGACTGAGGGAATGGCTGGCTCTTTCTGCGATCGGTTGAATAATGTCCTGATCGACGTCGGTCAAACTACTTTCACGGAAGCCACTTTCACAAGCGACGCACGGCAACGACTGAAGAGGGATCGCGAAGAGCTGTAGGCGGAACGTCCGCGGCATCGGCGCCGGCTTGAGAGAGCGACGCAGGCGGGGGAGGAGGAGGAGGAGGAGGAGGAGGAGGAGGAGGAGGAGGAGGAGTCTACTATGGTTGCCCAGCTTCGCTCTTTGTCTAAAGCTCATCCGCAACAGCGTCGGCGCGAGCGAAGGCGAGCGCTGCGGGAAGTTGTCGAGTGTGAAAATGACATCACGCCTCACGAATGTGTGCCGCCGGAGAAAACGACCCATTTCAGCCAAAAGGGGTCGTTTTTCGCAGGGTCCCGCGGCATTGCATTTTCGTGTCGACTTGTATCACATTAGTGTATTCCGCCACAGCTCCTGGTGAAGTGGGAGCAGCAGCATTCAGTGATGCGATCGGGAATTTAAGGGGGTACAGGTCTTTCCCTTCTCTCTCCCTCCTCCGGGCGTACGCATGGCGACGTGCTACGACCCTCCTCTTCTCGAGCAGCATAGCATGCGAGAGGGACGAATGGTAAGGGCAAAGCACCCTAACCATTTCGGCTCAAGCACCCGATCGCTACTGCAGTGATGGAAAAAACAACGATCACCATCCCTCAGACTGGCAAACGCCATACCAGATCTGATCCTTGGGTGGACCACGAGCGCTACCTCAAACACGTCCGCGTGAGCGTGGACTCGCACCTCCGGGTGCACTTCGGTCTGCCATTGAATCCTAAACTTGATAATCATTTTCCCGTCAACTTAGACCAGGTGTGGGACTACCTGCGCAAGACAGCAGACAGGGAGGATTTGATATCAGAGCTGAGCGAGGACGAGAGCTAGACTCACATAGCTTTCACAGGTTAAGAGCCTTGGCGTCTACACAATGGCGTACAGACCGACATTGTTGCGGCCAGTGCCACTTGCTGATGCACGGCGCCCGGTGCCGATTGCTGATGCACCGCGCCCTGCCGCTGCGGCCCCCGCCGCGGCCCCCTCCGAGGCGGTCGCCCCGGGGGGCCTTGACCACAGCAGGTCACCGAGGCGCCTGGCCGCGGAGGACCAGCCATTCCCGGACACCGACATCGGCCTCTCGGCGGAGCTGAGCCGCATCATCGACGACCATGCCGCGATGGAGGAGCGGACGGCCGAGTTGGAGAGCGAGCTGCAAGCCCGCTACCGGGACGAGCTGTCCAGGGCTGAGGCCGAGCACGTGCAGCAGCTCAGGCAGGAGTTGCAGGTGCACCAGCGGCAAGCCGAACAATTGGCGGAGGACCGTCGGCAGCAAGCAGTGGGCTTCGTTGAGACTGCCAACGCGCAGGTTGCCCAGGAGGCCCTCGTGCGAGACGCTGCCCTTCGGGACGAACTTCGCGGCTACGAGGTCTCGCTCGAGGAGTCTGCCGCCGCGGATGCCGTGGCCCAGCGGGCCCGTGCCGCGGAGGAGATCGCCGCGCACTTCCGGGCGGTCTGCCAGCACGAGGCGAGGCTCGAGATCGACGCCCGGGACAGAGCCTTCACGGAGCTCGGGGAGAAGGTCGAGCGTGACGCGGCGGAGAATTACTTGGCTGTCCGGGCTGAGGCGCAGCGCGAGGTGCTCGTGGCCAGGCAGGCGGTGGACCAGCAGGTCGCCGCCCTGCAGGGCGAGGTCGCCATAGCTAGCGCCAGCGCTGCCAGGGCCGAGGGCATGCAGCAGGCAGAGGTTGCGGCTGCTCGCGACGGATTCCGTCGACTTCGACACCAGCAAGAGGTCGGCGACGCGGAGATCGTCCAGTTCAAGAGGGAAGTCGACGAACTGAGCGACGAGCTCGACACTCGGAACCACGAGCTGGAGCTTTGGAGTGAGCAGGGCTTGGATGCCCAGGCCAGGTTCGATTCCGAGGCCGAGCAGCTCCGCGAAGCCAACGAGCACATGCTGGAGTTCTCGAGTCAGGCGAATACCTACATCGAGGGGCTCGCGGGGGTCATCGAGAACTTGGAGGATTCTCTGGCCGCCGAGACCAGGATGCGGGGCGAGGAGCCCGCACTAGCCGAGAGACGGGGGCTTGAACTACGACGTGAAGCAGAGATTGCCAGAGCGGCTGCTGTTCGACCGGGGCTTCCGCAGCTGGTGGTCCCAGGATCCGCCGCCTCGCTTGGAGCTGCCGCTCTTGCAGCTGTTCCTGCAGCCGGCGGAGGCGGATGCCCAGCGCGGGCTGCTGTCCCAGCCGGGGCCCTTGCTGCTCCCTTTGACCGCCGGGTCGTGTCCGCGATTACGGCCGGGGGCTATCGGATTGGCGATGGTACGGCGCGGGCCGGTCCGTCGACGGCGCCGCCTGCGGCGCCGATTTCGCTCGTGACCCCGGACCCGGCACGACGAGCAGGGCTGCCAACGAACCCTGCTGCCCCGGTTATGTTCTCGCTGGATTCGAACTCGGAGAACGAGGATGAGGCTTTCATGCGACGGCGCACGCCGGTCAAGGAGATGAAGCTGGAGGCCTTGCCGACGGCCCACGGCCTGCGCAAGTGGGTGAACGACTTGGTGTCGGAGGCGTGCCGGTGCTCCAACAGGTCGAAGACCAGGACACTGAAGTATCTCAGGGAGGTCTTCTTCGCGACGGACGTCGAGACCCTAGAGACGATTCCGTCTAGGTGGGACCCGTTCGACACCGAGCTTGCGAGCGCCTTGAGGAAGGTTGCCACCGGAGGCGTGGGCAGAGAGGTGCAGCTCTACCAGGAGCGGTGCGCCCGCGAGATCCGCCCGTTCGGCGGCAGGCCTGTGCTATACATGATCCTGAAGCGGTACGAGGTGAACTTTGGCCAGGCGCTCCACGTCGATCTGTCCACGATTCAGGCGCTGAAGTTCAGTGGCGATCTGGAGGCATATTTGGACGCCCTCGACTCACGTTTGTCGATCATGATGAAGGAGCCGGATGAGGCACTATTGTTGGCAATCGTCGTGCCAGAGCTCCGGCAGTGCCCAGACTTGGCTCTCGAGTTCCAGATCTTCGACAGGGCCACGCCTGGCAGCAACGAGCAGACCTTCAAGTACCTCTACGACGCTGCAAGGGCGCTCTGCGCCCGCAAGCGCCAGCAGAAGACGGCGGACAACCTCACGGCGCCGCCGAAGAAGGTGCAGCCGCTCGCCAAGGTGAAGGCCAAAGCCGAGGCGAAGACCAAGGCTGAGCCAAAGGTGAAGGCGGACGCGCGGGCCGGGGCGGCGAACCAGGAACCCAAGCAATTCCCTTGCGCACTCTGGCGAGCGGGGGCGTGCAAGTTTGACAGAGACTGCAAGTTCATGCACTATAAGAATAAAGTGCACACGCCCACTGCCGGCTACCCCGCGGGCACCGTGGTCAAGCTTGGGAACCGGCCTGGTGATGATTGTCGCCACGCGGCGAACCCCTCGGAGTGCCCCTTCGGCGATCGATGCATCTATCGCCACGGGCCCGACGACAAGAGGGACATCGAGAAGATCATTAAGGAAAAGGCCAGCAAGAAGGGCGGCGGCAAGGGGAAGAAGAAGGCGCTCCTTGCCAGCGCTCCGTGCGTCGGTGCCGGGCTCGACGACTTCACGGGTGAGATCTGGACGCTGGACTCCGGGAGCGCGTTGGATGCGACGGGCCACGTCGCTGGCGCTAAGCCGCATAAGATCTCGCAGCCGGGCGCCATCGACACCGGCAAGGGCGAGTCGCGCATCGACAGCGCGGTGATGACCCACCTGGACGAGCTCGGGGAGGATATCGAGGCCGCACTTTTGCCAGACGCCTCGGCCACCACCAAAATCCTCACGATTGGCAAGCGTTGCGCAGAGATGGGATACGGCTTCTACTGGTAACCCTGGGCGCCAGAGCCGCAGTTCGTCAGGCCATCCGGCGAGGGTTGCCAAGTGTGGTGTGACAGGGATTACGTGCCGCACCTCGTCACGTCATCGAGGCCGGCGGGCCCTGCTGCCCGGAAGGTGCTGGTCGGGACTGCGACCGGAGACGGATCTGAGGGTCCGCCCACGCCGCCGACGGAGTTGGCCACGCTACCGACCGAGCTGGCCGACGTCGCAGCGCTGTCCCCGGAGCCCGAGGAGATCGCCGGGATGGATCGGGAAGAGCCCCCGTTGTTCGAGCAGTTCTTCGAGTCGCCGATTCCCGAACATGACGTTGCGGCAGTCGCTGGAGAGCTTGGCGCGCCGCTTGTCGAGCAGGAGTCGGTTGGGGACGTCGTGCGAGTGTTGGAGGGGGGCTTGACGGACTTTGACGCGGATGCCATGTCCGACCCTACGGTGTTCCAGAAGATCGAGGTTTCGGAGTCGCCCGACGAGGTCGTTCTCGACTCGGGGGCGGCACACCTGACGATCGAGCACCTGTCGCGCCACACCCCTTCGATGCCAGACGCCTGCCCGGGCTGCAGGGCCGGCAAGCATTGCAAGCCCCACTCACGACGGCGAGACCCTGCTTCCAGGGGGATCGCGATTCAAGCTCCTGATGCGGAAGAGCGCCCATTCGGAGCCTGCGTCCACTTGGACCACGCCGTCATGCCTCACGGCAGCCCCGCGGCGGAGGTCGCCAAGGTCAGCCTGAACATGCTCGACGAGAGGACCCAGTACGGCGGCGCGTTCCCGAGCTCGAGCAGGAAGGCGGAGGTCGCCATTGCAGCACACCACCTCTTCGACGACGTCTCCCCGCAGATCAGGCGCTGGTGGACGGACAACGCCCCGGAGTTCAAGACGGCAAGCCGGAAGCTTCGGGAGCTCCACCCTTTCGCGCATTTCTGCTCCATTCCTCACGTGCCACAGTCGAATGGCATCATCGAGAGGTTCAACCGGACGCTGCTGGAGGGTGCTCTCGCGCTGCTCGCGATGGCGGCTTTTCCCGTCACCTGGTGGCCGCTAGCGCTGACGATGTGGTGCATGATGCACAACGGCTTCAAGATCGGCAAGGACGGCTTCACCCCATATTTTCGACGTTTCGGCCGCCATCCTGAGTTCCGGCAGTACCCCTTCGGCGCTCTCGTATTTGTGGCGCCGCGGGAGAAGGGAGTCAAGCAGCCCAAGTGGCAGGAAAAGATGCTACCCTACGTGCTTGTCGGCATCGGGATTGGCCCTTGCTTCGACTGGAACAAGACGTACGCCGTCGTCCCTCTCCGCAGGCTGCTGGGCGATTATCGGCCATCGCGGTCATCTATTAGATATTCTGCCGAGGTCTTCTTCCCCGGGCGCGTCACCTTCCCAGCGAAGCAACGTCTTCGCCTTGCAGGGGCGGCCAGGGACGACGCCTTCCCTGCCCCGGCGGTCTGCGATGAGAAGGGGGCTTGGGACATTGAGGAGTCGGACCACAGCGCTGGCTCAGGCAACGAGTACGACGGCGAGCTCGCGGAGAATGCGCCCAAGCTGGTGCCGGGCAACTTCATCGAAGACATTGTGCTGGGCCCCGAGAACCTGGCCGACTCCGGCGGCGACCAAGATGACTGGCTTGGAGCTGATGCCCAGTTTATCGCTGAAGATGTTCTCGCCGGCATGGGGCCGGAGCCGGAGCCCCTCGACGAGGCCGAGGTCAAGGCTGCAGGGGGGCGCCCGCCGACCGGCTGGAGAATCGACACGTTCGGCAGCCGAGCGGTCTCTGTCCCGCCATGGTCGCGGAGGCCTCCCACCGTCTACCCGGAGGCGTGGGTCATGATGAGCAAGGGGGACCAGAACAAGCTGAGGGACGAGTGGAAGGAGAAGGATCCAGATGGATTCAAGAAGCAGGAAAATCGGAGAAGTGCTTACCAGGAAGCCAAAAGGGCAAGGCGGATGCCCGCCGCAGCGGCGACACGGTCTGGGGGAGGTACCCCTCAGGAGCCGGCGGCGGCACGGTCCGGGGGTGGGGGACCCCGGCCGCCTGAGGCAGCACGGGCAGCGGATGCCGCCCAACAGCCTGACCAACAACCAGAAGCAGTTCCAGCACCTGGGAGTCCAGCGCCGGTGCTTTCGGCAGTGCATCGGGACGTGCGGCGCGCTGGTTCTGCTTCGCTGGCGCCGGTGCTAATCGCGAGGCACCGGGACATGCGGCATAAACGATTGATCGGTTCTCCTAGCTTGTCGACCTTGCATGAAGCTGGCGAGCGTGCTGATCTTCTCAAGTGCGCCAGGGCGAAGATTCGTTCGGGCGCCTTCACTGCCATTTTTCTTGAAATTAATTGCGAAATGGACTCAGTACTATCTCAAGGAGTTGTTCCAGGTACCCTGGCTATCCGCCTGGCCGAGGAGACCGACCTTACCTTGAAGGAGACCCGCCGTGCTCTACATGGTGTGGTCCGGGAGGCCTACCTCAATGGGTGTGCAATTTACGTCTGGGCGTCGACGCCGAGCACGGCCGGGAGCCCGAGGCAGCACGTCGACGCTGGGCCTGGCGGTGCCTGTGGTGACGTGGATCTTTCCGACAAGCTCATACAGACCACCATTTCCATTTGCAGGCACGCAGCGAGATACGGTGGCTGGATTTTCTGGGAGCGGCCTCCTACGTCCAAATTCTGGCACCGCCAGGACGTCATCGACTTCGCGCAGTACCTCGATGCTGGCAGCCGGGACGTCTCGACCGCAGCGCTCGGGATGAAGTTTGTCGTGAAGCGCGGCGGCCAGGAGATCGAGCAATATCTCAAGCAGAAGTGGAGGATCATGTCGAACCACGCGGAGTTTCTTCGACGATTGGAGCCGTACCAGGACGTTCCGGACCTCCCCGAGGACAGCTTCATCGAGTGCACGGGCAAGATCGCCAAGGACAGCACCAACTACACGCTGGAGCTGGCGGAGGTTTTTTGGAGCATCGTCAAGGTTGTGCCCAGCCTAGACCACCACGATGACGAGGTTGGTGCAGAGCCACCTGTGTGGTCGTGCTTGATTACACGGAAGATCAATCTGAAGTCAGCCGAGGCTCGATCCGAAGCCGCTCTGAAGGCCATCGAAAAGGAGCTGGCTGGCCATCGGAGCCGGCAGACTTGGTCCGAGACGGAGGTCCGGGAGTACAAGGACCTGATGAAGGACCCAACGATTCCGGAAGTCTTGCACGGCCGCGTCTTCGGCATCATGGGCGAGAAGAACGCCGAGGGCGACGACGCCTCGATCAAGTTCCGGGCGGTCTTCCAGGGCAGCCAGGTGAGGACAAAAACGGGCGTCGACGCCGTCGACCTGTACCAGGAGGTTTCGAGCAGCCCGGTGAGCTTCGCAGCGGTACGCTGCACTCTTGCGATCGCCGTGCTGCTTCAGCTCCAGGTGTCGGTTTGCGACGCCCTGCAGGCGTACCTTCAGGCATCGATCAGCGGGCCAGGACGAGTTCCCACGTGGGTCGAGATCCCACGGGAGTGGTGGCCGTCGAGCTGGTACCACAATGGGGACCGGTCTCGCCCCAGGTTCGTTCGACCGGTATGCCTTCTGCTCCGAGCTCTTTACGGGCATCCGGAAGCAGGCGCACTCTGGGAGCACCTGTTCGAGGGCATCCTGAAGGCATTGCACTGGAAGCCGGTAGCTTCCTGGCCTGGGGTCTTCCTTCACCCGGACGGTAGCATTCTCAACGTGTACGTCGACGACGTGCTCCTGGCAGCGGCTATCGGGAGGGCCGCCGAGCATTGGAGGGACCTCTTCAAAGCCATCGACTTTAAGGACGACCCGGCGGACATCTCTCGGTTCGTGGGGGCCCACTACTTGCTCGACCCGATCCGGGAGGAGGAGCCGTTGGCAGCGCGTCGCATGCAGATCTCGATGTCGGGGTACACTGCGAAGATGTGCGACCGGTTTATGGCTGACACCGGCATCGCCTTGAACAGGGCAGTCGACACGCCGCACTTGTCGAACGAGGCGTGGAACGACGACAACGAGCAGACGGGGAAGTTCGCACCGATTGCGCCCTCTCACGCAGCCTCTGCCTTGTTCCTGTACCGCGTCGGCAGGCCGGACATAGCCGCGGCCACCCAGCGCCTCTGCAGCAAGGTATCTGCTTGGACCGTCGTGCACGACAAGGCCCTCATCAGGCTCATGCTCTATGCCGCCTGCACGGCGAAGGCTGTGCTGCGCGGGGCGTTGTCGCCGTCTGATCTGGCCACGCTGCTGCTCGTCTGCTACTCGGACGCTGACCTGAATGGCAATTCGGAGACCACCAAATCTGTCTCGGGCTGGTGGGTCGAGCTCTTCTCTCCCGAGAGTGGGAACACGTTTCCGCTGAGCTGGGGAGTATCGACACAGACATCGACCAGCTCGGCCACTGCCGAATCCGAGACGGTCGCCTTCAGTCACGCTCTGCGCCGGGAGGCGATCCCGTTGCAGATGTTGCTTGAAGAGGCTCTTGGCCAGCATATCCACATAGTTTGTCGCATCGATAATATGCAAACTATTCAGTGTGTAGCAAAAGGTTACAGCAAGAAGCTCAGACACTTACCACGTACCCAGCGGATCTGTCTTGGGGTGCTTCACGAGATGGTCACAAACCCCGACCTGCGCATCGCTATGGAGCATTGCCCGACATTGGCCATGAAAGCGGACCTGTTCACGAAGACGTTGAATTCGGCACGGTACGCGACGGCCTTGGACATGATTGGGCTTGATGTCACAGACGGGGCCTAAGACTAAGCCAGTGCACATGCATTTTTTCTTAATTCACGTTGAATTGTATGAGCCTCTGGTCGCCGTGGCGAGGGGGGTGTGAAAATGACATCACGCCTCACGAATGTGTGCCGCCGGAGAAAACGACCCATTTCAGCCAAAAGGGGTCGTTTTTCGCAGGGTCCCGCGGCATTGCATTTTCGTGTCGACTTGTATCACATTAGTGTATTCCGCCACAGCTCCTGGTGAAGTGATTGGGAGCAGCAGCATTCAGTGATGCGATCGGGAATTTAAGGGGGTACAGGTCTTTCCCTTCTCTCTCCCTCCTCCGGGCGTACGCATGGCGACGTGCTACGACCCTCCTCTTCTCGAGCAGCATAGCATGCGAGAGGGACGAATGGTAAGGGCAAAGCACCCTAACCATTTCGGCTCAAGCACCCGATCGCTACTGCAGTGATGGAAAAAAACAACGATCACCATCCCTCAGACTGGCAAACGCCATACCAGATCTGATCCTTGGGTGGACCACGAGCGCTACCTCAAACGCGTCCGCGTGAGCGTGGACTCGCACCTCCGGGTGCACTTCGGTCTGCCATTGAATCCTAAATTTGATAATCATTTTCCCGTCAACTTAGACCAGGTGTGGGACTACCTGCGCAAGACAGCAGACAGGGAGGATTTGATATCAGAGCTGAGCGAGGACGAGAGCTAGACTCACATAGCTTTCACAGTCGAGGAACTTCAGGAGCATTGGAGGGCCAGACGGCTGGCTGAGGCTTCGAGGCTCGCCAGAAGGCTGGCGGGGCCCAGGTGGGGCCCCAAGGAGCGAGAACATCGCGACGTGCCCGGAGCACTGGATGACGCTTCAGGCGCCGTCGCCCGGTTGTCGAAGAAGGGGGGCGGAAAGGGAACGGAGAGCGAGGCGGTCCACTCCCGGGAGTCCTGGAAGGAGGAGGCTTTCCGAGGCGCGCGTAGAGGTCGGAGTTTCTCGGAGACCGGAGTGTCGCAGGCCAGTAGACAGCTGCAAGCTCCCGAAATTCGCCACCGGCAAAGCAAGAAGGCAGGAGAGCGACGTGCCGTTCCTGAGCGGTGCCCCCCTCTCTCGAGTCATGGTCGTCGCTTTAACATTCGGGGAAAACTTGGTCGTATCGTGCGGGGGAGGTCTTGGAATGCCTGATGATGTTCCTGATATGAGGTCTGGACAAGATTTACGGTCAAAAACCGAAGAGGGACGCGCGACTCTGCTCAGGGTGCCCTTGCTCTTCCTTGCTCTCCCTTGCTCTTGCGGCTCGTCCTTGGCACCTTTCGCCTGCCCGGTCGTCAGGGTACCCTTGGGGTTTCCGTCGTCCCCCCAAAAAAATCCCGACTTCGGCCTCCAAGGGTCTTGCGTCCTCACCGCGCGTCCTTATCAGGGTTGTTGACAAGCGCTGTTTGGGAATTGTGTGGACTCCAGACAGGGTCTGCGTGGCGTAGTGCAAACGCTGTTTGGGAGTCGGTGCAAGCGCCGCCGCCGCCGTCGCCGTCGTCGTCGTCGTCGTCGTCGTCGTCGTCGTCGTCTTCTGCCTGCCTCCTCTCCTCCCTCCTCCCTTGCCTTGTGCTGTCTCCCTCCTCCATCCTCCCTAGCCAGGTAGCAGGGGAAGTGGTAGCAGCAGAGCAGGGAGTGTGCGGACGATGAGAATTTACTTTTTCGCGCGCCGGCTCCTGCGCGGCGTCGCCACCGTGCCCCTGCTTCGCCGGCGCGCGGGCACGGGGGCCCCACGCCCGCGACCCGGCAGGAGGCCCAGGTGGACCTCGTTGACACTCCTCCCTCCTCCTCCTCCTCCTCCCTCCCTCCTCCTCTCCTCCCTCCTCCCTCCTCCTCCTCCTCCTCCTCCCCTCCTCCTCCTCCTCCTCCTCCTCCTCCTCCTCCTCCTCCTCCTCCTCCTCGGGAAAGCGCGCGGCGGGGCTCATGAGGCAGAAGGGGCGCCTCCAAGCTTCGGTCCAGGATCACGGCTTCCGACAGAATAGGAGACGGGAAGAGGGCGCTAACTTTGCAGAATACGACAGGGCGGCGGTCGGAGCGGCGCCGCGTCTCTCACGCCACTGACGCTCGCGATCTCAACGACGCTTCAACTTCGAGCGACAGACAGCGCATGCGGAGGGCAGCGTCTGACCTTCTTCGAGAGCAGGACAGGGGATACGGGGTGGAAAGCAGATTGTGCCACGGCGATTTTACATGGGAGGGACGGGGATGCGGTCCTACGACCAGGCCGCGGAGGCCTCATGGACGATAAATACGCCGTGATCGCAATCGCCCGCGCCACTGCGCCACCGGTGGTAGATCGTCGCGACGCATTGCGCTGGCGGGACTCGCTCTCCACTTTACTGCGGGCTCGCTGTCCAATCGCAAACCAGCTGGTGGATCTCTCGCTTACGAAAGAAGCCAAGACGCCCAAGGACAGCCCAAGACGACCCCAAGGAACCCCCAGAACGTAAAGAACGGCCCAACACGCTCCCGCGCAGCCCGAGACACCCTTCCGACAGCTCTCCAGGCCTCCAAGAGGCCTCCAGAACCCCCAGGGGGTCCGGAAGATCCCACACCCCTGAGGGGTCCGGCTTACAAAACCCGCGAGGCACAAACAAAAAACAGCGCCGAACAGCGCCGAGGAAGTGGAAGAAAATGGAAATCCCACAAGTCTTTTTTTTCCAAGTTTGGCCCCTGGTCTACTCTTGCACAACAGGCCACAATTCAGACCTCCCTCACCTCCCAAGTAAGAACCCAGGAAGCCTTTGAGGGCCCCAAATCGTTGAATATCTACAGGAAATTGATGGTTTCCGCGTTTCCGCACTTCCCCTTCTATACGATTCCGAGGCTTGCGCAGGGCCTCCAAGGCAGTATGATATTAATTACATGAGTTAGCCGATCAAGCCTAGCTAGAGCTCGAGCGCGCGCGAAGCGCGCGCGATGGTTCTAGTACGTGTATATACATATGCATATACATTTGCATGTATGTATGTATGTATGTATGTATGTATGTATGTATGTATGTATGTATGTATGTATGTATGTATGTATGTATGTATGTATGTATGTATGTATGTCTATATATTTATATATATATATATATATATATATACATGTATATGTATATATATATATACATATATATATACTCATACGCACCTCTCCGAGGGAGTAGAGCTCAAAGGCGATTAATGCGCACGCGTCCGCGATTGTTCTGGGCGTTTCGCTCGGGACATCCTCGAAATTCTGAAAATCGGTGGCACCCCTCACGCAGATCGCGACGTCAGGGTCCAAAAACACATGGGAAATTCAACATTTTAACATAAAACCTTCAAAAACACATGGTAATTTCAATAATTGTGACCCCGATTCTCAGTGAATGGCGGTTTCGCTTGAAAAATCCTTCCAAAATCGAGCCCCAGACCCCGCCTCGGAGCCTCCTGGGGGCCTCCTGGAACCTCCTGGGGCCTCCTGGGCCTTCTGAACCTTCTGGCACCCCAGACCCCGCCTCGGAGCCTCCTGGGGGTGTCCTGAAACCTCCTGGGGCCTCCTGGGGCCTCCTGCGGCCTCCTGGAGCCTCTTGGGGCCTCCTGAAGCCTCCTGGGGTCTCCTGGGGCCTCCTGAGGCCGCCTGGGGCCTCCTGGGGCCTCCTGGGGCTTCAGAACTACATGCACACAGAGACACAAATCACGCCCAACACATCACACGCTAGACAAACATAACACACACACACACACACACACACACACACACACACACACACACAACACCTACAACACACAAAAAGCACGCACCACACGAAGCATACATCACAACACACACACACACACACACACACGCACAACACTCACAATCCTGGGGCCTCCTGGAGCCTCTTCTGGTATCCAAGTTGGGCCTCCTAAGGCTTCCTGGGGGCCCTGGTACACACATCGCAAGGTGCGGCAACCCCACTTGCGCTCGAGTGCGACTTCGATGTTGCATTTCACTCCTGCTTCAAACGCCCCTTCAGTTTTTTGTATGAGCCTGGGCACACACGTGCCACTTGTGTGTATATATATATATATATATATGTATGTATATGTATCGTGCAGTCGGAGCGCGCTTGTGTTTGTCAAACCCCTGTATCGATGGCCCCAGTTCTGAGTCATCGCGTTGCTCCCGTCGTTCAGAATGGTGCTGCTCCTTTCCCTTCTCTTCATCATCTTCCCCCCTCCTGCTTCAATATACTTGCCTCTCCTTTCAGCTTGAACATTACAAAATTTGGTAATTTGGGGGATCATGGTCCGCTAGGACACCCATCGGCGGATCGACAAACATAAGCACAATGTGAAGGGATGGGTGGGATTCGTAGACTGTCAGAGATGGCGCACGCGCATCTAGCTAGTCCCCCCCAGACACACTCTCCATTCTTCGACCTTGCCACCCTCCCGATCACCTCCATCCTAATCCTGCTCATGCTCCTCGTTCTTCTTCGCATCCTCTCCCCCTGTCTTCCTTTCTTCCTCATCCCCGTCCGCCTCCTCATCCTCCTCCTCCTTCTCATACTCCTCCTCCTCCCTCCTCCCCCTCCTCCTCCTCCTCCTCCTCCTCCTCTTCCTCCTCCTCCTCCTCCTCCTCCTCCTCCTGCCCCCCGCCTCCATTCCTCTTCCTCGTCAGCCTCCTCCTCATCTTCCTCCTCCTCCTCCTCCTCTTCCTCCTACGGTGGGTCCTCCTCATCATCACCTAGACGGTCGTTTCGCATTTCGCGCCTCCGCGCAGCGCAAAGTTAGTTGGCCCTGCCACCGTCCCACATCGGGCCCACGGAGGACGGAAACCCCTCAGGCCTCATGATCATCTGCTTTGTCCTCCTCGTTCCCGTTCTCATCCTCTTTTTCTCATCACCATCATCATCATCATCATCATCATCATCATCATCATCATCATCATCATCATCATCATCATCATCATCATCCCTTAGATGGGCGGCTTGCTCACCACGGAGATCTGAGGCAGAGAGCCGGGGGGACGCGGGGGGACG